CGTTGCAGAAGGCTCTTATCTCCGTACCTTTGTACTCAGTCAGGGACTAACTGCAGCGCCCGTTTTTGATGGAGGCCGTGCAACGGCCGCCTCTTTAAGGGAGCCGATTTCTGGATTGGTAAAGAGGAGCGGAGGAGCATTGCCCGGCCTCTCCCTGTCTCGAACCTGGGAGCTGCCGGAGTCGTGGGGGATTTGCTTCCCTGGCCCCCGGGGCTGCTTTCCAAAAGCGGGGGTTGCCCGAGAGACATCTGGGGTGCCGAGGTCGTGTGGTGTACGTTGTTTTCCTGTTCCTTCTCGCAGATGTGCTGCTGGCACACACCACGCTTTTGCTGGATTCTTTGGGCAAACGACCCTCTGGGAGACAGGTCTGCTCGCTGGCCCCGGGAGCTGGGCAGTCGCTGGCGGCTGAAGCTACCATTATATTGGAGGTGAGCTGATGACTCCGTAAGCCCGGCAAAAACGCGTGCTCCGGAAGTGTTCGCGGTGTGAGCCTCTAGCTGGAGATGAGCGTGATTAGGCCTGGGCTCATGGCAGGGGGCCGGCAGACCCTTAGGCTCAGGAGGGGCATCGCCTGGCCCTCGGTCCCTGAGCCTTCCTCTGTTTGGCTGACGTTGTAGCGAGGGTGGCTCCTCGCCGCCCGGAGCGGTAGCTTTTGTCGCCCCTACGCCCGCCTTTCCGTCTGGGAGGAGGAGAGCCTCTCTGAGCTGCGCTTTACTCTTTGTAGCTGCTATTCCAGGAGTCTCCTGCGTCTTTGAATGCTCAGCACGCCACGTCTCTGCGCACCAGCATCACTCCCACTAAGAAGGTGGAGATGGACCGGACCATCATGCCCGACGGCACCATCGTGACTACCGTCACCACGATTCAGTCCCGGCCCAAGGCGGACTGCAAACTGGGTGAGGCTGCCCCGCGATGGGAATCTCGTACCAGTGGCCGCTGCGGGGGCGCGGACTCCGCCTCCGCGCTATTCCCCAGGCTGCTCGCGTGGGCGGGAGCAAAACTGTCTGGCTGTTGTACATTGCGATTGTTTCAGACTCGCACCTTATGCGGTGCTTTTGGCTCCTGGGTCGGGATGTGGGCATCGTCGCCGTTCCCTTAGTGACTTGTGGCTGGCTGGAGACTTGGGCGTAGCCTTGGGGGAGAGAATTGATGCGGCCCTGTGTTGGGGGGAGGCGAGAGAGGGACGAGCCTCTCTGACACCCTTTGGTGCGGTGGGAGGTCCGGACTCTTTAACGCGTATGCTGCCGCATAACCTCTGCGTGATGTTGGGCTGAGCATTTTGCCGCTCTCCCTCCGTTTTCTTCGCTGCCGAAGAAGTTAGGCCGCGCGTACTGAATGCGGAGCCAAAAGCACGTCGACCTTGCTTACTGGCGGTTGTTGCTGCTTGCGGTCTGACGTCTGGTGAATGTGGTGCTGGATAGTCTATGAGGTGGGGCCGGGAAACGGCACGAACGGGGCCTTGCGACGGGGGTGCTTTGCGTGTCTTTTTCCGATGGGCTTCTTACTACTTTGTTGCCGCAAAGCCTCACGGAGCCAGTCTCTGCAGGCCCTCTGTGAGCGCCTGAGGCTTTTTGGGGGCACGGGTAGGGGGTCGCGATACGGTCGTGAGGTTGCTTAAGCTTCATTTCTACTTACTGGTGTCTCTGTGTCTTTGCCTCTCTTTCACTGTGAAGATTCACCGTCGAGGTCGCCTTCCAAAGTGGAAGTGACTGAAAAGAAGACGACGGTGCTTTTGGAGAGCGGCTGCCCTTGCGGCCCCTTGCCCGGCGGTAGCCGTAAGTGCTTGGAAATCTGAGGCTCTTACCGGAGCAACTGCGTTTCTTAGCCTTTCTCGGAGAGCAGTGGTCTGAATGTGGGTCACCGAACTCATCCACGTTTTCTGCAGAAGAGAATGTCCGAGTGTCTAAGCGAAGTCGGGGGTGGGGGGCGGGTGCGGGTAAAAGAAACTCCGCTTTGGCTATCCTGTCTGTGACTCTGGGCATCTGCTTGCTTGACAAGAACGTTCTGGGATCTCCGCGCCCAAAGAGCTTTGCTCGCCCCGTACCCGGGGCTCTGATTGTCTCCGGGACGGAGCGCCACAGCGGGTTTTGACGGTTTGCGGCTGAGTCTGCCCAAACTCTTGGGAGTCTTTGGAAGTCTTTGTTGAGCGGGAAGGGTATTTTAATGTTATGCCTGGTGGGAAATCAAACTTTTCAGGTGCCTGAAAGAGCAGAGAGCTACGTGGAGCTTCCTCCCCTTGGTTTATGCGGGCGAGTCTGTAATAAGTTCTGTTCTCTACCTTTGTGCGCGTGTAGTTGCCTCTTACGAGCGCCGCGGTCAGCCGGCGACCTCTTGCCCGTGCCGAAGGTCGCTACTTCAAGCCTTGGTATCTTTTCGTGTGCTTAGGGGATAGCCATATGCCCAACGGCTTGGATCCGGTGGCTGAGACGGCGATCAGGCAGCTAACCGAGACGAATAACAAGCCCGCCAAGAAGACCCCGACAAAACGTAGCACGCTGATCATCTCGGGAGTTTCCAAGGTCTCTGGTAGTTAGGGGGCTCCATTTCCAATCCGGGAGGTTGTTTCCGGGGACGCATGCGTGAAACCGCCCTGCCCCATAGGTACCGGTGTAGAAAGGTTCCGGCACGGACGACTCGCTCGGCTTTCGCTGCTTCCTCGCGGCTTGTTGCCGCTTCCCGACGAGCGTCCGGGGTACCTCGCCGGCTGCCAGTGGTGGGAGTTCGCAAAGGGCAGCTGCAGAAAGGGAGGCTGCTGCCGTAACCAGTTGGGAACTTTGGGGAGAATCTAAGGAGTTCTCCTCGGTCTTGCCTACGGAACGCTTTGGAATCGGCCGCGTTCCAGTACGTTTTGGCCAAAGACCGATGATTGTGCGTTGGTGCTGTCTAGCGCCGATGATTGGAACTGGAGCGTCTGTCTCTGTGTAGGTGTGGATGGAAGAAGGGAGATGAATGCGATCCTTTAGACCCCACTTTCCCGTCTGCCTGACCTTCTAACCCCTCTCCAGGTACCTATCGCTCAAGATGAAATGGCACTTTCTCTGGGTTATGCTGCATCCCTGGACGCCTCAGCGTTCGGGGATTCTGCGGCGGAGGGCGTGGCTGACCGGACACACGATTCTACCGAATCGTCGCGGCTGCTGGAAGCGTCGCCGTCGGGACAAAGGGCCGGTCGGGAGCTGGATGAGACGACGCGATCGGACATCTCCGAGAGACCGTCGGTAGAAGACGTCGAGTCTGAGACTGGCTCCACAGGAGCCCTTGAGACCAGGAGCTTGAAAGACCACAAAGGTAAGGATGAACTGTTAAATGGTAGCTAACATTAGCCTGTTGCGCTCGAGGACGAAGTGACATCCGGGTTCCCCACCCAAGCGCGGGGGCTGCGGCCGGCTTTCAGCCTGGTGAAGAGCGGCTTCTGCTGGAGCCTGGAAGAGCCTGCCTCTCTCCCGCGCTTCCTGCCGGAGCCGTTCCAAACTCCTCTATTTGCGGGTGCCCGATTCCTGTGGCCTTTTTGGTTTCTGTGCTCTCTTAGATGGGAACCCCGCACGGCTCACGTGTTCCCGAGAACCTGTTTTTGCTGCCGGGCCTCTGGGTCCGCGGGTCAGGCGCGCGTCTGTAAATGACGATTCATCCTCTGAATATGGCTGTCTCTGGGGCGGAAATGGAGGCCGCCCGACAATGCGGATCGTACGGGCCTCGACGCTCTCCCTCTTTCTCTGTAAGCCTCGAAGTAGCTAGCGCCTCTGACCTGTCATTCTGTAAGGAGTCTGCGCGAACGCTCCGCTTTTAAACGATGGTGCGGGCCTGCCCTGCCCAAGCCGCCGTTCTGCACTTCCCAGGCTGGCGTCGGTTAGGCGGATGGCGCGCCTTGGATTTGTCTGCTGGTAGCCACGACCGTTTCGGTCGGCTGTGACCTTTCGGAAACGAGTGCAAGGCAAAAATCTCATTTTCGCTTGGAATACGAGAGCACGACAAGTTTCGGAGGGCCGTATTCTGGCGCGACCGGGTACGGTTGGAACTGCGGTGGCCCCTCGTTGTTGGCACGTCGGTGGGTAGAAAGATGTGTGGCCCGGATTCTCGAGAGACCCGGGGGGCGGGGAAGAGAAGGAAGAAAGCAGAAAGCGAGCCCCCTCTGTAGGAAATACTGTTGCAGCTTTGTACGGCCTGCAGGTTTTGGATATGCCTTTTCGCACCCGTTTGGGGCTGATGGTGCTTGGCATCATGATCCCGTCCCGCCCATGCGAGTCGTCCGGAGCCATCACCGTTACTTGTCTCCAGATTTGGGCATCTTGTGAAACTGTGGGCAGCTGTTCCAGGGGCTTGACGACCGGCTAATCCGGGTGGCCCCGAGATGGGCTAGTCTGAGAGGCCTTTTCCCTGTCACGTGTTCCTCTTGGTGTCTCCGCGTGCAGACGTTCTCCCTCACTTTCCATTTGTATGAGCCTTAGCTTTCTGTTATGGCTCTGCATGCGTCCACCGAAGGGAGGACGTCGTGGTGTAAAAGGAAGTTTACGCGGAGGGGACGCCTGACGGCGTGCTTAGCGAAGCGGCCCGTCGGTATTGCAGTCTGTCTTGAACGTAGACTTTGCCTTGCAGTCGGGAGCTGGTGCAGACGTTCTCCCTCACTTTCCATTTGTATGAGCCTTAGCTTTCTGTTATGGCTCTGCATGCGTCCACCGAAGGGAGGACGTCGTGGTGTAAAAGGAAGTTTACGCGGAGGGGACGCCTGACGGCGTGCTTAGCGAAGCGGCCCGTCGGTATTGCAGTCTGTCTTGAACGTAGACTTTGCCTTGCAGTCGGGAGCTGGGATTCGCTGGCCTGCCGTGCTCCTCTGCCGCTTGGGGTGGATGAGGTCTTTGCCACCCATCCGAGAGCAGCCGGGTGCGAAACTCGCCGGGGCCGGATACTATTGCGGTTTCAGTCTCCTTCCTTTCTGTCTCTGCAGTTAGCTTTCTTCGGAGCGGTACCAAGCTCATCTTCCGGAGAAGGAGCAAGCAGAAGGAAGCGGGCCTGAGCCAATCGCATGACGACTTGTCCAATGTCACTGCCGACTCCGCCGCCAGGAAGAAAGCCGGCAGCTTCTCCCGCCGCCTCATCAAACGCTTCTCCTTCAAGTCTAAATCAAAACCCAAAGCTAGTGACGGCACGACAGCAGGTGAGAACTGAAGGAGGGAGAAGCCTGTCAGAAAGATTGCACGGAGATCCTTTTCTAGTCTCTCGTCTTCCCGCTCCACGGTATCTGTGACCTGCAGTCCGGTTCCTTCCAACCTTGGCTGAGGGAAGATGCCCCAGTGCTTTACGCCATTTGGGGAGCGGAGGTGGCGAACCCGGGGCTTAGGCTGCTCATCTGCCTTGGCTTAGCCTTCTCCGACTGTTGCACCCCGCTGTGCTCTCCCAGAAAACCCAGGTGGCGTGCTGATCCCTGTGGGGGTCCCGGGAGCTGCGGAAACGACTCTGCCTGCGTAGCTGTCTGGCACGGCCGGGTGCGTCCTGGAAAGCGGAGGTTGGGGGGGGCAGCTCTCGAGCAGCAGCCATCAGAGTGAAAGATCGAGAAACTACCGAGTTGGCTCCGTTGCCGAGAAGCGTGGGATGTAGCTTCGCTCAGCTCTTCTAGCGAGAGAGAACGATGCGGTCGCTGGCCGTCTAAACGCTCTCATCGCTTCTGCTTGCTGCAGAGGCCGTAACCTGACTGCGGGGCGGGGCGCTGCGTTCCTGGGCTGCGAGCTGTCAGGAGAACGAGCTGCGTTTCTCCGCCCGGCTCTGCCATTGGAACGGTCTCTGGTTCGGACAGCGCTGAGGGATGCCTGCTTTCTGTGCTATGCTGATGAAGGACGGAGTCTCTGAGAAGAAGGGAGCTTTAACCACTGGGTGAGTTTTTGGAGAAGCCCGGGCCTTTGTGAGAGACATCTGGTCGGTGCCGTCGGCGATGCTGCCCTGTGACGTGGCCCTCCTTCCGAATCTGCGTTCTTGAACGGGGAAGGGGCCGTGCTGTGCACGCGCGCCAGCTATCGTACGAGCGGAACCCTTTCCATTGGGGGCATCAACAGCGGGGTGCCGGGCCATCTTCCAGACCTGTGGAGCGCCCGGCCTCTCACGGTCCTCGTGCCGAGGACTGCCACCGTGCCGGGGATGGACGTCGAGGAACGGCGGCGATGATAGCAAAAGGGCGGTCTGATCGGGAGCCTGAAGCCATGTGCTGGGGAGAGGCAAGAGTTGACAAGTTTTCGCTGATGAAAGGGTTTTCTGTAGCAGAAGGAGCCTTTCTTGACTGCGTCTCGTATTTCCTTTCTTCTAGCAAACCTGACCCGCCACGTTTGAACGGTGGGCGTTTCTGCAGTGGGTATTTGTGGAGGGAGAGGCGCGCAGGGGAGAATTGGCTCCTCGTGCGGGAGGAGACCGCCCTTCTAGACGAAAGGTTTTCCGTCTCCTGACGCACGCGTGTGCGCGCACGTCCCCAGAGGCCCCGTTTGGGTAGCGTAACGAAGCTCTTTGGAGAAACGCTCGTGCCCTGGCGGCGTGCCCGGGCGACGTGCCCGGTTGGAACAGAAGCTCCTGCTCTCCTGTGGGTTGTAGAGTTAGGGAGATGGGGCAAAGGGGAGGAAAAACCTCAGTGAAGAGCGATTGTTTAGGCCTGACTGAATTCGCTGGTTCTGCTCTCCTGCTACGGTACCTCCTGAGGTGGGGGCTGTCGCCCCGCCTTACGCAGGACGTGACCGACCAAAAAAGCGGTAGCTCTCCCGATGGCGCGCGTAAAACGACGCGTCGTGTTCTTCGGAAGGATGAAATCCGGCTTACCGATACGGCCGTTGCGTGCTGTTTTCAAAGGCTGGAACGTGTTTGGTACGCCGCTGCAAAAGGATTTAGGGGCAGGAATTTCCGAGCGTCTCTTAAAGTGTCTGGAGGTAGAGAAGGCCAGAGCCGCCTGGGGCTTGGATTGAAAGCGCTGACCCGTGCCGGCGGGAGGGACTGTCTTTCCTGTTTTTTCCTGCCAATTCCCAGGTTGGGCACGCATGAGAAATCGGACTGGTCCAGCTAGCTGACCAGGAATCTCTTCTCCATCTGTTCATTTTGGTCCGGGAGTCTTTTGGTCGTCCCCGAGCTCTTTCGTGTCTTTTTTATCCTTCGGTTTTTTTCCTCGTCCGCGCGGTACCACAGCTTCGTTTGCAGCTTTGTGCGCTACGGACTTCGGAACGCTCGCTGGTTTTTGCTGAAAATAGTTCTCCTCGATGCGAATGACGGGTACCTGCTGCGGCTCTGGTGGAAGCTGGCAATCTGCAGCTCGCCTGTAGCAATCTGGCCGCCGGTTTGACGCGGCCTTCCTTTGCGGCATCGCACGTGACGCCGTCCTTCGCGGGCACGCTCTCGCTCCCAGAGCCTCGGGCTTTGGTTCCGGTTCGGCGTTCTCTCTTGCGCTGTCCCCGCTACGCCTTCGTTTCTGTCGCTAATGGTACTTGACGCTCCGTTTTTGGTTTTTGTTTGTTCTTTTTCAATACCTCGTCGAGGTCGCTTTGAATGAGGAGCACTGGCTGCGAAACCTTGCGTTTTAAAACGCTGGTTTCAATGGAAGGGATCTTTCAGAAGAGCTGGCGGCTCTTCGGTTGCAGGTTTCTCACCAGACCTTCCGTGAGTCTCGTTTAATAGTCCCGTGTTCTTTTCTTTAAACCACGAGAGCAGCTCAAGCTGTTTTGAGCGTGGTGCGGCCGGAGGCAAACGGCCGAGGCTCCCACCGGCACGTCTGAAGCGTGAACCCGGGGCTCGTGTATGCGAGGAGGGCTGCGAGGGCTAGCGAGCGTCGTCCTTGTCGTCGTAGACCGTTGGCGGAAAACGTGAGCGAGGTTCACGTCCGACCAAGGCGTACCTAGATTTCGATCGGAATATTTTGGTCTGCCATGGAGGAAGGAGGCGATAGGAAAGGTAGGAGTAAAACCGAAACTTGAGTTCCCCGGCAGCCTTAGGGACCGAGGATCCCTTTCTAGCCGTGTTAAATGGGCAATTCCTGCCGTATGTCTGTGGGCTGTCTTGAATTTGTTCCCAGTTTGTTGGCTCCAGGCTATGCCCGCTGACGAATAGCAGCAGAGGTACCGTTTTTTTGATTTTGAGCTTCGGCCTGGCAGAAGACTCATCCGGGAATTTCCTGCGCCGCACGACGGTCAGTGTCTATCTTCCCTGGAATTTTTGGCAGTACTTTTTATCGCGGGCGGTAAATGGCTGTGGAAGTTTGTATCTGCTTAGATAGCTTGCGAAGGGAAGGGATACTGTTGAGTGCTGACAGAGCGCATCCCCGAACGTTAATTCTCACGTTCCCTAGCGGAGATGTACTTTCTGCCGTTTCGTTGCTTCTCAAAGTTTTACGGCGTAGGACGGATATTGTAAACTTTTATCCTCTTCTGAATGTTACCGGTAAGCGCAGAATGTTTTTCAGGGTGTTTGGGTAGACTGCTGTTTGAGGGACAGAGGGGTAAGGGGGAATGGCTCAGCCGCGTGCACCGAGAGCGTTTTTTAGTTCAAATGTGCTCCTGATTAATGCGTCCATCCTTCCTCTTTGTATCTGTACGTGGCTTCCTTTCTCGCACGCGCGGTTGTTTTCGTCCCCCGAGCGGTAGGCGGCTGGTTTCGTTAGTCCCGGATGCGCGAGCGCGGGTGACTCTCGCGGCTTCCCGGAGCCACGAACGGTAACAAATCCGCCTCGTGGGGGAGGTGTGATTATATGTGGCACGAGACGCAATTCTTCTGTCCTAATCTTCTCGGAAGGAAAGGGAAGGTCACGCGGGTCTTTGGCCTCCAGAAACCGTAAAGACAGCGTCCCCCCCTAGAACCGCTGCTTAAAGACATCTCTTCTGTATTTAATCCCTGCTTGTGCTTCTGGCTTTAGGACAGAAGAAACGCCGTTTGAAATCCGCTTATCCCTGTTTTAACTTCCTCTGGGTATTCATGCCCTCACCTCGGTGCCGTTGTGGGGTCTGCGGTGTTTCATAGCGCCCGGGACCACGGAGCAACCCCGGTGCGCGGCGCAGGCCGTTGTCTAACTTTTTAGACTCGAACGATCTGTGTTCGCCAGGTTTCTGTCTCAGGGTAGGCTCGGTATTTGCACCTTGTGAAACCGGTCCTCGACCAAATGTGTGGGGGAAGAGGAGAGGCAGAGAGGCGGGCTTGAACGCGCGGAGGCTTCCGAAGGAGTTCAACCTGCTTATGAGGGCCTGCGTTCCAAACGCTGTTTTTTGCTGTCAGCTATGTGAGTGGAAACGATGACTGGTAAATGAAGCCAAAGTATATGTTTGGGGGTTTGTTTTGTTGGTTGGTTTTGGTATTTCTTTGTTTTTGTGTGGCGGGGTGGGGTTTTTTTTTTTTTTTTTTTTTCCTTCTGTTTTGGCTGAACAGAGTTACTAGAACTTAGCTATGCTGTGTATTTTTACTTCTCTGAAGAAAACTGATTTCTCTAGCCGTAAGCACGCTTCCAAGTATATTTCTGTCTGGGTAGATCCTCTTCCCCGTGTTTTGGCTTTTTAAGAGCCTTCCCGTCGAAAAAGCCCTCTGTGTCGGCCTGTGAGGGGTATCCTCTCGAAGTGAGAGAAAACGGGCGTGGGAAGAAACGGAGGGCGCCACAAAACCTCGGTGTTTTGGGGGAGCGTAGGCTTTAGCGTGATGGATGTCTGACCAAGGCCCCATTCTCAGCGAGGGCGCTCGAAAGCTGCGTGTCTGAGGACGGAGGAATCAGCCGTGTGCAGCTGTGTTTGCACATGCTTCTAATGAGAGCGTGCTCTGTGATTGCCTGTGCTGGTCACGCGGCCAAGTGACCGAGGACGACGAAGCCGACTGGTGGGTGGGGAGAGAGCAGCCTTGCTGGCTCCTGTGGTGTCCGCAAAACACTTCTTACTACTTACAGACCTCTGTGGGGGTGGACTTGAGCACGCGAGTCCACCCTCTGCCTCTGCAAGCGCCCCCATGCTGCTTATGTAGTTGAGGTTGGGTTTTTAGGCAGGTTGGCTGAAGTGGGGGAGAGTGAGGGGAGACTGCTCAGGTAGAGCGCTAGTCAGAAAACAGTTCAGCGGAGGGGAGCGTAGCGAAAATGTCTTCAAACCGATATAAGAGGGCAATGGGCGTGCGCCGTTTCTAGACCAGAACAGGGCGCACGGCAAAGCGTACACTTACAGATGGGTTTGTTCCGCTTTTTTGTCTTTAGCGATGCCGCTTCCTTCCCGCGACGTCTTCTCTCAGTTTGTTGTTTGCTAAACCTACAGAGAAGTAATTTCTGGGTAGCTGGCGAGACACTTGAATGTTGGGGGGCTGGTGTTTGGGTATTTTGGGGTCTTTCACGTTCTTCCCTCCCTGCCTCCTTCCCTTCCTCCCTCCCGCCCCCAAGGTCACGGTGAGTGTCACGGTAGAGTTACGATGCCGGTGGTGGTCAGACTTCCGGAAAAGGTCTTTGTGCTTATGATATCGCGGCTCCTTCTACAGGCATGACTGCTCCGCACCGCCTTTCCTTGCTCGTACAGGTACCGGACCAAATACCCGTGCTGAACTTGAATTAGCACCCCTCCTTGTGCGTGCTCTTTTGTACTTTGATGCCTTCTCTCTGGGTGGATTATTTTAACCCCAGATTGTTTAGAGGAAAAAAAAAAAATAGGAACTGTGTAGCTATTTAAGAGATCAGAATAAAATGACTTAATTTGGACTAAATGAATGAACTTCTTGCACCTTTGTAAATGTTGAAGAAGAATTCCATTGCTGTGTAATGGCTGAACCTGTTAACTTATTAAACCACATGGAAATCAAAACCTGACCCCGAGTCTGACTTTGTATCTGCTGGAGCGTGGCGAGTTGGGCTTTGGCTTTTTAGAAGTTCGGGGAGGTGCCCTGATTTATAACCTTCTTCTGTAAGACTGTCATCTCCTAGGGGCCCTTTTTGCCAAATGCGGATACGTGGGTTTACGGTCTGCAAGACCGGGACGAGGGCTGCAGCCTCTGGGGTGCTCCTGGGAGGCGAGGGATTCCAGAGATGCCCGCGTCAGCCCCGGAAGGCGTGAGCGGCACCGCGACTGTCAGCGGAGCCCAGGCGTGCGGCGGTACCCTCGGAGGCTCGGTTACGGCTTCACGGGGCGCCCTAGCGGAGCGGGCTCCCTCACGAGCGCCCGCTTCGGCATTTTCTTCTCCCTTTGCCTGCCCTGCTTTCCCTTGTTTCTCGTCCTCGCTTCGTTGCGGGGCCTACGGTTCAAGCTGCAAAGTCAAGGTCGGCGTTGACTCCGTGTTTCTGCTCCGGGAAGGGTTCATCCTGCGGGGAAGGGGACGGCGGTGGTTTGGGCCGTACCCTGCGGCTTCTTAAATTTTGTTGCTATGTCTTTGTTTGTCTAGTTTGCTGTGCCTGTTTCTTAATTTTTTTCCTTTATTTCCTTAATTTTGTTGCTTTTTATATTATTTTCCTATGTCTGCTTTCATCCGGCTTCCGTCCCTATTTTTTAATTTCTTTCCTCCTCTAATGCTTTTGTTTTTCAACTTTTTTCCTATGTCTGCTTTTATCTAGTTTGCTGTTCCTATTTATAATTTTTTTTTCCCCTCTGCCTTGTACCCCTTTGCTTTTTCAGTTTTCTTTCTATGTCTGCTTTTATTGAGCCGTCTGTCCCCGATCTTTAATTCTTTGTTTGTCACATACCCCGTTGCTTTTTAAATTTTCTCAGCATTTTTAATTTTTTTTCTCACCTCTCTCGTTTCATCCCGAGGCTTTAGAGGGTCTCCTCGGCACGCTGTTATCCCTGGGGCTTAATTTGTACCCCTCCTGATTTGTCAGAACGTCTCCTCGGGTCATCCCTCTTCCTTAGGGCAGTCTTTTTGTCCTCTCCTCCAACTCGCTCACAGAATCACAGAATTGCAAGGGTCGGAAGGGACCTCGGGAGATCATCTAGCCCAACCCCCCTGCTAAAGCGGGTTCTCCTAGAGCACGGTACGCAGGACTTTGTCCGGGCGGGCTTTGAATATCTCCGCAGAAGGAATCTCCGCAACCCCCCTGGGCGGCCTGTTCCAGTGCTCTGTCACCCTCAAAGTCAAGAAGTTTTTCCTCATATACAACTGAAACCTCTTACGTTTCGGTTTGTGCCCATTGCCCCTTGTCCTGTCGCTGAGCGCCGCTGCAGAGTCTGGCTCCGTCCTCGTGACTTCCACCCCTAAGATGTTTGTATGTGTCGATGAGATCCCCTCTCAGCCTTCTCTTCTTCAGGCTGAACAAGCCCGACTCTCTCAGCCTTTCCTCGTAGGGGAGATGCTCCGGTCCCTTTATCGTCCTAGTTGCTCTCCTGTGGACTCTTTCTAGGAGCTCCTCGTCTTTCTTGAACGCTCCAAGGGGTCGGCGTCTCCCTCACGCCATCTGTGCTCTGTCGTAATCCCCTCCTGAGTACCTTTGTGCCTACTGCAGAACTAAAGGATGGCCGTGGAACGCCAGGACGCTGGCGGGAAGCGTTGTGACGGAAATAGAGGGGGACTGAGGTGGCTGGAGAGATAGAAGGCGGCTGTCGTAGTGCTGTGGTTTGGATTTAGTACTAGAAGAATGTTGATAACATGCTGATGGTTTAGTTGTTGCTGAGCAGTGCTTACTGTCAAGGAGTGTGTTAGCGGGGGGAGAGCGATCGCTGCTCGGGACAGGCCGGGCATCGATAGGCGGGCGGTGAGCAATCGCATTGTGCATCGCTTGTTTTGTGTATTTTGTATGTTCTGTTACCGTTATCGTTATTATTGTTATTTTTTTCTTTTATTAAACTGTCTTTATCTCAACCTGTGCCTTTTACTTTTTTTTTATTCTGATTCTCTCCCCCATCCCACCGAGGGAGGGGGGAGCGAGCGAGCGGCAGCATGGCTTTTGGCTGCCTGCCGGATTAAACCACAACGTACCATCGCTGTGCCTCCTGAGGTGTTACGCGTTCTGTGCGGCATGCCGTTGGCTCCAGTAAGTCCCCTTCGGACACGTTTTGTTGTGATTGTGCCACTCCCGAGATCTCTGTTCCCAAACAAGAGCGTTCCTTTTCTTCTCGAGTGCCGTCTGGGATGCCTCCCGAGACCCTCCTTGCGTTCCACGGTGTTTCGGTAGCGCTTTACCTCCCTGTCGATCCCTCCGAGCCTTTCACGACCCCTCTGCTCCCAGTCAACACGCCTCCTGAGAGCTTCTTTCCGTCCCATGGCCCCGTTTTAGCTCCATAGCAGACTTTGATCCTCTCTCAGTACCTCCGGACCCCGTCCTCGGATTTGATTGCGCCTCAGAACGCTTTTATAGTCTCGTCAGCCATCTAGGGTGCCTCCGTGTGGTCCCCAGCCTCCCGAGGACGTTTGTACTCCATTCCGATCCCCTCCGGATTCCCTCCTCACATGCCTGAACCGCCTTTGGTCTCTGCGGCCCGTTCGGGACCTCCCATAACGGTGCCGCGACGCATTTGAGGTTGCCCTTAGCGCGCTTTTAGCTTCGTAGAGAACCTTGTGCCCCTCTCGGTCCCTCGGAAGACTTCCAGAGTCTGTATCTGTGACCCGGCCCGGTCGTTCGGTCCTCTCTTCCCTCCAGCCGTGCTTTTATTCGTTCCCCGGCCCTGTGATGACGCGCTTACTCGGTTTGAATCCCCTCTGGATTTAGTTGTTGCGTCCCCGGTCTTTTTTCTGTCTCTCTGGCTCGTTCAGGACATTTTGTCTTCTAGTCACGACACCTCCCGAGACCTTCCTTGTGCTCTGCATCTATCTTGTAGCATTTTAAGCTGTAAAGCGCTATCGTCTTCTACGCTACCTACGCCCTCTCAGGACTCCTCCGCTCCCTTTGCTGAGCTTTCGTCAGCCCTGTTCTAGCTTGGAGGACGCTCATAAAAACCAGTTTGGGGCTCCCAGGAAAGCCAAATCTGTCTGGATTTGTGCGGCTGGAAAGCAAAAAGTGCACAAACCTGAAAGTCAGAATCACTGATTCTTATGTTGCAAAAGCAAAAAAGCCCCCAAAACCCGTGAAAAAAAACCCCACTGATTTGGGGTGTAACACTGGCAGTTTGAGGGGCATCGCTGGGGGTTATCTGGTACGGATGATCCGGTGTGGGTCAGTTATCTGGAGTGGATTATCTGTTGCGGGTTGTCCCAGGTGAGTTATCTGCTGCGGAGTATCCCGGGCAGACCCGTGGTGTATGTCGTCCGCACGCGTGTCCCCCCCATGCACTGTTCTGGCTTTGCACGGCTCCAGAGGAGAAAAAAAAAAAAAACCCAAACCG